GGAGAATTGTTTACCGGTCACCGTCTATTTACAAGCCTTGGTTGTTGGACTGAGGTGGCATACCCCCAACGCTATATCTACCTCCTTAGTGTATGCTGCAGTACAGTTATACCAGTCCTCAAAGCGCTCTTCGCCTCTACACAACCAAGCTTCCCATAGGCGTACGGCGTCACCGTATCCACGACGGTTGGACATGTGCAGCGTGCTCGCGAGAGCGCGATGGAAGTAACCAATCCGTTTTACTCTACAACATACCGCCAACACGGAGTGGGAAAAAGAAGAAGAAAAGGCTCACACCATTACATCTGACGATACAATGGTCCCAACAGCGCATCCTAGATTCTACCTTATGACGACACGATCCGACACAAGCTACGATAGTATACCCACCTGATCTCGAGGTCCCCATTACCTGACCCCACGCATGTCTTCGATCCTATCTCCACGAGATAACGGACGACGAACTCCTTCTCAACTGACACCATATTCCCGATACTCGTACTCCTATCGGAATCGTTTAGATATACATGGACGAGACGTCCGATACCTTTGAAGCGAGCCCGACGCTGAATTGGGGAGAGTTCACACACCCACTTCTTGAGCTACCCCCCCAAGAGCGTCCATGAGGCCCTTACCACTAACATACGAGGCCGATATCCATAACTGCTGACAGATGACGGTTCCAGATCATAGACTCCCGAGCGATCCAGCGGGACACTTTCTGACGACTTACGCGCCAGGCGATCAGCCATCCGCTTCCCGACCGGAAACACTTCGACAGTAACGTCCAAAGGAATCTATACCGCAACGCTGCCCACTCTGGGCGAGAGTTCACACACTACGCCAGCAGGTCACTTCGAAGACCAATCTACTCATAGGGCCCCCACTAAAACATACGCACCAGTATCCAGAAGACGCCCACCTCTAGGAGAGTTCAGGACACTACGAAGCCAGGGCTCGAGGCCATACACACTAGATCCACTAAACTGCAGTACGCAGGTACTCGGAGACGCCGAACCTCACCTTGGGGAAGAGTTCAGACACACTACGTGCCACCAGGGGTCACGAGGCACGTAAGCCCAGTACAACACCATTCTACAGTACGAAAACGGTACACGGAGTCCATCATCTTCTGGTTTCACACATACCTGACAGACAGCAGAGTAATTCTCAGAACGCTACACCTGAGGTCAGAAGTAGACCAAAACACTACGTCAGATGGACTGGCGGAGGACCTTCGTTACAAACAGAGGGCACAGAGCACACTACCGAGAGTCAGCCCAGGTCGAGACTCGGAGGACACACATAGGAACTAAGAGACTCCTGGCCACGCCAGACTATAGTTTTATCGAACTTGGCAGCATTTATCGCGACTCGCTAGTAGAGGGCATTAAGAGTGACAAGGTTGACCCTTTTTCCTGCCACGACGCCTGAATAATACACAGCAAACGTAGTGGCAACAGCAGTTTCGACGCGTGAACTGCTTAGTAACGCGACAGAACATCGGGCTCACGGTTCTGTAGCAGGCGGTCGAGGACTTGACGGACATGCTGCTGGTGGGTTATGTTGTCAGGAGAAAAAATCAAAATGTCATCAAGATATACAAACACAAACTTATTCAGGAAGTCCCCCAACACCTCATTTATGAGAGCCTGAAACACTGCCGGTACGTTTGTTAAACATGTGACTTATCAGTAACTTTAGACATCGTAACACAATTTTAATCGATATTTTATTGTAGATTATACATTTTACTGGTACCAATTATATAATATTTACCTTGTTCATTAAAAATAAAAAAATATATTTTTTTAATTTTTAATTTTTTTTAATTTAAATTGTTCATGTGGGAAGAGGTGGGGCGGCGCCCCTAGCGCCCCTATGGGCCGGCCGCCACTGATTGGAGTATTCTTCCAGCTGATCTTAAAACGTGCGCAGATTTTCAGACTCTTCTCATAGTGCAAAATAATTGATTTTCAGTAACCAATCTTGCCAACATCAATAATACTGTAGTTTGAGATGCTAGTTTAAATGAACTGTAAAATTATTATATATTCACAAATGTATTACTGTAGTAGCCTATCTGTACTTTATCTGTTTTCATTGTTAGCGTGTTACTGTAGGTACTAGGACATGTTTTAACGTTTGTTATATGTGTATCATCATCCCTGGGCAGGTGCCCAGGGAGAGCAGATGGATTTAATCTGGTATAAATAGCATCTCTTGTCTTTTAGAGACAAATGTATTTCTATGCATGGTCCATGTTCAATAAAGACATAAACAAAGGGCCTTTTGTGAAACCGTAGACATATGCTATGCTAATTGGTAGTTATTCTGCACACACAATTTGCTTGATTTGATTGACCTATGGGACTTAATTATACTAAAGGTGGAGTATTTATGAAAGCAGAGGTATAAATATTTAGAAATAAATCACTCAATATCCGTGTCTTTAGATTACCTTAGCGTGACCTTTGCAGTTGATTCTGGATGTTTTCATACCCGGCCCTGTTGTTGTGACTAGCAGCTCTGAAGCTTGTTTTTCCCGTGGCAGTATCTGAAGACTTTTTGTGTTTTTAATGTACTCCATGACATTTAAAATAAAATGTGTTCTGCTTTTTCAGCAGTTTTACATATTGTGTGTTTTTTCTGTTGAAGGTACAAAGTTAAAGATATGCCAGCGTTTAAAACGAAATCCAACTGAACCCCACAATAAACAGAATATGAAGATGTTACTATGTTCGGTTTTTCTCTATGTATTGTGTTGCAGAGAAATATACTGAAATAATCATGCTAGCTAGCAACCACCTGTCATGCTTTACGATACTATTTCAGAATAAGAATCAGTAAATTCCTTTACTCATCCTAGAAAGGGGAAATTGATGTTGCTACAGCAAAGTATAGAAAATCTAACACTATTATAAAAAAGGCATGCACATTTACATAGGTTTACAGTCAGGTAGATGAGTAAGTAGCAGCAGTATGTATAGAATAAGAATAAGTGTAACATTGTAGAATGAAGTGTGGTGTAAAACAGAAGTACAATTATTACTTCACACAGCTAGTAATGTTGCAGTAATGGATGGACTTACTAAGCGTAGCACCCAGTAGTAATAATAATATTAACTTGGAACACATAAGTGTTGTTGTACAATAGTGGTTTCATAGTCTTTGTTGTTGTGTGTGTGGTGGTTGTAGAGCCATTGTATCTAGAGAGGCGATGGTTAGCCACTGTAGCGTCCTGTCTAAGAAATGCAGCTGCCCCAAGGTCTGCTTACTCACAGGATCCGTGTAAATGTTCATAGTTTTCATATTGGATTAAATCCAAACTGGGGGTAAAGATAAAAACTGATGCCTTTTTTCTTTTCGGCCTTGTGATAGCAGGACATTATTTGCCTGCTGGTGGCTTCAGTGCTGAGTCTAACCTCTAACCTCAGCAACAGAAAGTCTAACGGCCCGTCCACACAGCGGCTTTGGAAAAAGCTTGCCGGCGGGCGTGTCTGAAGCTTGACCAACAACCAATCACATGAATCTCCCGCCCCTGACACACAGGCAGCGGTTTGATTGGCTAGAGCTTGTACTGGCATATGATTTGATTGGCTGACGCTTCCACCGAAAGCTTCAGAAGCTTCAAAAGTTGAACATTGCTCAACTTTTGCATCCTGAAACGCCAGGAAAGCTCCGCTCTGCTTCCCACAATGCAGTTCGGCGAAAAGTGACGTCACCCCATTCAAAGTGAATGGGCAGAAGCCGCTGTGTGGACGGGCCGTAATGGTCCAGGATCAGACCTCCCATACCAACCATTATGCATAGTAGTAGCAGTAGGGCGGTAGTGGCGAAGTCCATAGGGACTTGGCTTGGCAACTGTCAAATTAAGATCACCAGTTCAAGTCCCGGAAAGACCAAGTGCTTCCGAGGTGTCCCTGAGCAAGGCACTGTTCCCTACACTGCTCCCCGGGCGCCGTATATAATGGCAGCCCACTGCTCCTAACACTAGGATGGGTCAAATGCAGAGAAACCCTTTTGTTACATAGTACCTGTACTACGTAATGACAATAAGTTGAATCTACTTCAAAAAGCATAAAGCTTCAGGTTAGTTCAACAGTAAATACAAAGATAGCGAACTCTAAGCTTATGCCCCATATGAACATATTAAAATAGCAGTGTTATTTCACTTGTTTTAGCATTTTGTGTGTGTGTATTTTTGCCCCTTGTTTTGGTAGTTGGTGGTTTTTCTTTCTTAATGAACTGATAACTACCCAGTAGTGATGGTGAATTGCTGCCCCCTGTTACTTTAAGACATCGCCAACAGCATTTAGAATAAAATAAAATAAGGCAAATATTTAAATATTTAACAGCCACTGTAATTAAAGTTTAAAACAACAGGACTGCAAATGTCGTTTACTAAGGGTTCTTTAGCAACATTCTATATCTAATGTAATGCTCTAAAGCCTTCTCTACGTGTTTGCTGACTTTTATTGCCCTAGTATTGATCTTTCTTGGCATGTAATGGAAATCAAAGTCACTAAGAAGTGAGAAGTCATCTGATTCCCAGCAAAAAATGTGTCTTTATAAGTCTCCGAATGCCTTGATTTCGATGCTCCAGAGGGGTATCGATTCAACTGTGGGTTTTGACCCGGTAAAGGAAGACAGAGCGCACTGTTCTTCTGGCCTCCAGCCATACTCGCATATCTCAGACACTTCTCTAACAAGGTGTCTGACTAAATGTTATCCAACCAGGGAAATTAAACTATCAATTGAAAGTGACTATATAGAGTTAGAGAAAGCTTATTGGAATATGGAAAGAGACTGAGAGAAAGATGAATTGAGATCCTTTTGAGATGATACACTTTTAACAGACATGGATTGTATTTAGGGGTGGATGGCGTTTTCAGGGGAATGAGGAAAGTGCCATTCCAGTACAATACAGACATTCATTCTGCTTTATATGCCTGAAATCTGAAAGCCTTTTCTTCTCTTTTGTTCTTCCTTACAGATGTGCGGTGGACTGCCGATGATTTCTCCTCCTCCTCCAGTTGAAATTCACTGGCTGACAAAGACGGCACTTCTCACTGCTCGTGTTATCACTGAGCTCGGAAAGACAGATCTGGTCCACACCTAAACCATTGTCTCCTATTGCTTCTGTCTCTTTTCCAATCTTCTTATCATCACCATGGCTTGTTTCCTGGCATCTGCCTTTCTTCTGGTTCTCCAGACGTATGCTGCCCCACCTGACTTTGTCCAGGATCGGTATGACATAACGCTGGACTCCGTGGGCCTGGATCCTGGACTACCATTCAATATCTCTGGAGATGAACCCTCACACCCACCCCCAGGGACAAGTAAAAGAGCTCCACACAGTATCATTATCGGAGTACGCAAGGGGGGCACAAGAGCACTCTTGGAGATGCTGGACATACACCCTGAGGTTGCTGCTGCCGCCACGGAGGTGCACTTCTTCGACTGGGATGAGAACTATGCCAAGGGCTTTGAGTGGTACCGTGAGTTGATGCCATACTCGTACCCAAAACAGATCACCGTGGAGAAGACTCCAGGTTACTTTACGTCGGCCCTCGCACCTGAACGCATCTGCGCCATGAACTCCTCCATAAAGCTGCTTCTGATATTGCGAGACCCGGCCGAGCGCGTCATATCCGACTACACCCAGGTGTACTTCAACCGGCTGGAGAACCACAAGCCGGTGCAAGCCATTGAGAACCTGCTGGTGCGCAACGGAGCTCTCAACATCCGCTACAAGGCCATTCAGAGGAGCCTGTACGACGTCCATATGCGTAACTGGCTGCGCTACTTCCCCCTGGAACAGATACACATCGTGGACGGGGACGCACTGATCCGTGACCCCTTGCCCGAGCTTCAGAGGGTGGAGCGCTTCCTCAACCTGCCCCCAAGGATAGTATCCTCCAACTTCTACTTCAACCAGACCAAGGGGTTTTACTGTATCCGGAGTGATGGTCGGGAGCGCTGTCTGCACGAGTCTAAGGGACGTCCTCACCCGGCGGTCAACAGCACCGTCCTCCAGCAGCTCCGCTCCTACCTGCAGGAGCACAACCGGACCTTCTTCAGGCTGGTGAGGCGCACCTTCGACTGGCAATAAGGGACCCTGATCAATCGGACTCAAGCGAGCCACCACTTTGCCCGTGATGAGGACAAAAAGCGGGCATAAAGCACTTTACAGAACTGACATTCAAAACCCCTTTGAATCGCCTCTTAATAACTACTGGTGTGATCTTTGGTTTCGGCAGAGCAGTTCTATATTTACACGATTAGACAAACAACTATGAAAAGCTGTAACTAGAGGCGTGCGATTAAATGGAAGAAACTCAAAGCTTAATAACTCATTCTCTCTGTGCTGGAAGCATTTAAGTGATCAAATTGCAGCAAAAACTAGTTTATGGAACCGATTAACTTTTTTTCCCTTCTCTTTCTTGTTTGATAATCTCGTTCTTAATAATAAATGGTTCTGCTTTCAAATGTACCAGACAAGTGGCATGTTCTTTTTCTCCATTTCATTCTAGCTGTCAAAAGCCAATGTGCTCTTACCTTTTGTTATTCCGGGAATATACTAAGCCAGGCAGAGGCATTAGAATAAGCCTTTGATTTGCTGTTGTGGCAGGTAGACATTAATGCAAGGAAATAGGTACCCTGGAGCAGCGCTTTAGTAGTACAAGAATCACTAATGGCTTTGGACATTGAAGGTAGCCTGCGCCTGCAGCTAAATAAGTCAAACCTCTACAGTCAGCAAGCTCCAATGAGGGGAATGCATTTTGCCGCTGCTCTGCAAAAACGTTTTTGCAGGTGTTAAATGTAGTCATTATATCATATGCTTGTAAAACATTTACAGGTTTCTGTGTAAATGGTGTTCACACATATGATCTCTTTACTGATTTGGATGCAGTTTTTCCCAGAAACGGCCTGTCATCCCGCACACAACAGATAGATGTGGGTCATGTTTCTTTCATTGATTGGGCTTTAAACAGCAGCCAAAGCTACAGCTCCACTGGGATCTGATATTCATGTGATCCGCCGCTCTGTCTGCTGCACTATAACTCTCCTGAGGCGAGTAGTCGCTGACGCTACATTGGATCTGTATCAGGAACAGATACAATAGCGAGGGGGGGCATATAGCTGTGGGCTACATAGGAATACTTTGAATATTTATATGAATAGTGTAGTGAACCTGGGGTGTTTAAATTATAATTAGGAATGTGTGATTTTCCTGTGTGTACAGAAGTTCTGTTTAATGACCAGGCTTGGGGAGAAACAGATTACATGTGACGGGATTACGTAATCAAGATATAAAAAAAAAGGTTACTGTATTCCCTTATAGTTACATTAAGAAAAGTGTAATCAGATTAATGTTTCATTTTTAAAAGAAAATGGGGATTAGAATACAAAATGTATATATTATAGGAAGACGTACTGCATTATTATTCTTTGTGGTTTTAATTTAGACTACATTTAATCTTATTAATTGTATAATTTATTTTATGTTTAATTGATGTATTAAAATAAATCAGCACTTGTTAACTATTTTAGGCTTATCCTACAAGAGGACACATTTCTGATCCTAAATATCTTCTTTTCTAAGGTCACATTGTTATTTTGTCCAAAATAATACACATCAATTAAAAACATATTGATCCGTCTATTCTCTTTTCTTTATTTGCATTGCATTTGATATTGAGGTTATCCAAAAGTAGCAGAACATTATCAGGCCAATTTACTTTTATATTGTGATCTTTAGATTAGGTAACAGATTACATTATTAAAGTAACCCTGGTGATGATAATCCCTTATAGCTCATCTCTCAGGGACTTTTCTCCCTTCTGCTCACCAGGGGGCACTTGGTCTCAGGAGTAGCTCATGGGGGAACAGTGTGAGGATGCATGGCCAGACAGGCTCTTTCTAGCCTCTCCTCTGTGGTGCAGTCAGAGTGAGGGCCTGTGACAGTTACCTCCTGACCCTGGCTGACGCCTGTCTGCTCCGGTATGTATCAGCGAGCCGCTCATCCGGAAGAGAGCGACTCAGCACAGGCAGCCTTGCTCCACCGCTACAACCCACACACACACACACACACACACACGCACACATTACCGATTGCTCCCAAGGTGTTACATTGGCGCAGCACAGTGTTTCCATTAAGCAGGTGGGCAGGAAGGACAGAAGGGCATGTTTTGCTTACATGAGAGTACACACTGAGCAAATCCCCATTTAGAGCCTTTATTTATCTGAGGCAAAGTTGACTGAGTATGCTTGCTGTTTTCAGATGCACTGCAGCTCACAGTCATGTTGGACTCTTAGGAATTGAGCTGAGCAATGGGTTGTTTAAGGCTAAGGATATTTTTTATCAGCACAATGCCTGGAGCTTATAACATTGCAAACAATGCAATGATATGACTCATAAAGTTCTACAGGCCTTTTTATTCAAGGGATTTGTTGATACAATGCTAAAAATGAAGCTGCCACAGTGTATGTTTGCTTGTGTTATTCTAAATGTGGTAACACAATGGCTTCTGGTGCTAGTTTTCAACAAAAGTTTACAAACACATGTTGCTTATGGGAGGCTGTGGCTATATAAGCAAGCTGACTTACTAATGCTGGACCATGTTCACCATTTTGGTTTGGTTTATTCATGTACTAAATACTGTACATTTGGGGCTGATGCGGTGTTTTTCACAAATATATACAAAGTTTTTGGACACATTGCATTCCATCCATCTAAAGATGGCCCTATATGGAAGGTGTGGGGATAACCAAAACTGTTACATGTCAGGGGGTATACATTTCAGAACCACATTTCATGGAAAGTAGCCAACAGTTTAGTTGAAAATAGCCTTTTATGCTACAAATGTCAACCTGAATTCAACCAAAAGTAGTAGGGTTCAACCTCTGGGGACTACATATGTCAAATGTATAAAATGTCACAACTATACATCAAAAACAAATGGTGAACCAACCAAAAACAAGTAATATTTTATAAACCCAAGCCAGTATTATCTTCGTCATTCGTCATTTTTCGTCAAGTACCCTTTTTAGAAGCGTGTTGGGGATTTTATCCAGCAACCATCTGGTTACCCAGTCTGCCTCTGAAATCCTAGGCAGAGAACAGCTGAAATAAAGCTCTATTAATAAAAACGGCAATGTGTAGTGATTTCTTATTGGCCAACAGAGCTTTGACTTATTTTTGTTATTCAGAAAACACACATGTTTCTTTGCTTCTGATGTGCTCTGATGCACGGCAAGTCATTTAAAACCCTAAACACTAACACGTTGCTTTAACTAATGGCTACTGTTGAGTGAATCACTTATCACTGTATGTCTTTGATAACTGCCAACCCGGGCGTAATTAAAGGTTTGAGGGGTGGTCTAGAGCAATCTGCTGTATATGTTTTGGCTGCTCTTGTCATCCTAGACGCCTCTAATGATCTGTCTGGGATTGTGATTGATGAAGCACTTAGCATCGAATCAAAGCACAAGGAATGCTTGCTACTTGCTAAGCTGTTTGCAAACTAACAGCCACTGTTTTTGCATTATACAAGTCTATTACAGAAGTGTCCTTAATGGGAATTATTGACCTCTGTGTCAAAATTGTATACAGATCCTATGTGCACAAAGAGTTGACTGACATGGCTCAGCAGCATTGGTGGAAGAAGTATTTAGATCCTTTAAGTAAAAGTACAAACACATTCATGTCAGAAATCTCTATTACAAGTCCTGCAGTCAAGATCGTACTTTTACATATTATCAGCAACATTTAAAAGTATTCATTCTGCAGAAAAATTGCCTCCATATGTAGTGTATTATGAATCATGATATATATCGCATTATTAGATTATTAATATTTGTGCTTCAAGTAGAATTTTCCTGTTATGGACAGTGTTTTGCTAAGAAAGATATTCATATTTCTGACTTTGTTTTTTTACTTTTTGCATGAATTGGATAATTTGACTTGATGTACCTCAACCTATGGTGGACGACAAGTGCAAACGCAAATACATGGAAATAAAGAAACATGTTCACCAACTTGATAAACATCCATAGCATTGACTCAAAGCACAGCACAATCAAAACGTGGAAAATTCAAAACATTGCAAATAAAAGAAACGCAAAAAAAAAGTGAACTGATAAGTAATTGTAGGTACATTTTCAACAAAATTGGGTTGGCCAACTTTATATTTCCAGAAAGTCAACCATTGCTCCGGTCCCAGCTCTGTGCATCAGTGTCCCCGTTTCTGTTGTATTTTGAGCTTGCAACATTTATTTGCAGTGTTAAGAATGTGCGATCCGCTCTATCGAAATCAGTCGGAAATCGCAACGGCTCATTTAAAAATAAACGTGGATTTGCGTAAAAAAATAGTTTTTCGGGTGTTTTGTTTGATTTTAAATAAACAAAGTATTGGCTTTCAGAATACGAAACTTTTATTTCCAAAATCACACGATAAATACGTTTTTGAAGCTTGTAAAGGGAAGATGACAGCTCTCACTTGCCACTCTGCTTTTCCGCAGCGCAGCTTCCCCTCCCTCCGGCTGAAATTATGAATGTAAGGTGTATAGCAGTGGTTCAGAGAGTTCTTTTGGGGGTGCTGTGGGGTAGCTTGACGTTTCATAGAGGGTGCTCAAACATTTAGGGTTTCCCATTAAGGTACCGGTCGTTACAGTGGAATTTTCTACTGCAACAATCCCCACGCAAATACACAGTGTGACAGTTACAAGGAAGGCTCGATAATCAGCTCACGGCATATACACTGAACAAAAATATAAACGCAACACTTTTGTTTTTGCTCCCATTTTTCATTAGATGAACTCAAAGATCTAAAACATTTTCTACATACACAAAATAACCATTTCTCTCAAATATTGTTCACAAATCTGAAAAATCTGTGATAGTGAGCAGGGTTAGGGTTAGGGTAATGTTGTGAATCGAGTGGCCCATGGTGGTGGTGGGGTTATGGTATGGGCAGGCGTATGTTATGGACAACGAACACAGGCCACTCGATTCACAACTTTACCCTAACCCTAACCCTAATCCTAACCCTCACACCAGATACTGACTGGTTTTCGGACCCCCCCAGACCCCCCCAATAAAGCAAAAATGCACGTTTCAGAGTGGCCTTTTATTGTGGCCAGCCTAAGGCACACCTGTACAATAATCATGTTGTCTAATCAGCATCTTGATATGCCACACCTGTGAGGTGGGATGGATTATCTCGGCAAAGGAGAAGTGCTCACTTTCACAGATTTTTTCAGATTTGTGAACAATATTTGAGAGAAATGGTTATTTTGTCTATATAGAAAATGTTTTAGATCTTTGAGTTCATCTCATGAAAAATGGGAGCAAAAACAAAAGTGTTGCGTTTTATATTTTTGTTCAGTG